CTGGCGGTGTGCAGTGACACGAAGGTTGTCTCCTTCCCCCTCCACCCCAAGCCTTGCACCAGATGCCACTCCCCCCAACCCCCACCCACCCCTCTTACCCCACCCCATGCCACACTGCTGCTCTCAGCCCTGTGAGCTCAGACCAGGAAGGAGGCCTGGACACCTGCTGGGCTTTCTCCTCTCTCCCTGCCTAAGTCAGGCTCCACCACACACCGTCGAGCTCCCATGACCGGTCATGTCTGGGAGAAGAGAGCGAATCTGGGGAGTAGCTTGGGGGGTAAATAAGTGGGACCGGCAGAGTCACCTGTCCTTCCGGTCCCCAGCCACGCTGTGCCATTAGCCCAGTTAAAGCTGTGATTTCCTAGGGCATATCAAGTCGCCGTCATGGTCACCTTCGACCCCTCGGGAGCCCTCCGCTTCTCAGCCCCGTCGCTGCTGGCTCCCGTGCGTCTGGCCGCCACCAGCCCAGCGAACCCCTCGCGCAAACCGGTGACCGCGTGGAGCCAGCCGCGGACGCGAGGGAGGACGGGACCGGGGCGGCTGGCCGCTGTCCGTGGCGCTGACCGCCACTGAGAGTTCGTGTCTGTCCTGTACGCCAGGCTCGGCCACACACGCCGTGGGGTTCGCGTTCTGTGCAGGCCTGAAGAGAGTTGGCCCGTGACTGGTCACTGCTCGGGACCAGGCAGGGATCTGCGGTCTCCACGAGAATGAAGACGCAGCTGGGAGGGGAGGAAGTGGTGAGTGCTCTGGCCCTGGGGGCTTGGAGTAAACAGCTTCTCCCCCTGAAGGCTCCCTAGGCCACCCAGTCCGCACTGCTGTTCCCATCCCCTGGCGGTTTTCTGACTGTGGCAAAGCCTTTTCTCCAGCTCGAAGCCCAAATTCATAGTGGGAGTTTCATGACGGGATTTTCTCACTACTGTGTTTGACAGGATCCTTTTGGTTATAGAGAACAAAGCCTCATCTAAACGCCTTAAACAGCAGCGGAGTGAGCTTTGGGGCCGGCGTGGGGTGGCACAGAGACACGGGAAGGCGGACGTGGCTGGGCACAGAGGCTCCTACCTCCCACCACCCGGCGACATCCCCCTTTCCTCCTTCCAACAGAAGGATGGTTTCATCCACACAGCCCCGTCCTCCCTGCCTTGCCTCCGTTCTCCGCCTCGGAGGCTCAGTTCGCTGGCTCTGCCCCATTGCAGTGACCGCCCTCTTCCTGGCAGTCACTGGGCTGGGTAAGAGAACTTGCAAATCCAGCCACCGTGAGGGCACACGCCGAAGCCGTGCACCACCAGGGAGCAAGGAAGAGGCCTGTGGGTTCCTCTGGGGGCTTTATCACAAGGTGTGAGAGTCGGGCACTGCAGAGAGGCCCATATGTACAGGACAGGACCGTGCGAGACCTGGAAAGCCTGGATCCCGGTGGCACCATAGAGCCACCGAATTAACCCAGCACTCAGGCTCCATACCCTCAGGGCTTACAGGTGCTAATAACCCCACAGTGAGTGCCCGCACCATTGCGGCCCCAACGTGGGGGAAAGATCTTCGGTCTAGTTATTTTATTAATAAGTTTTGTAAGCATTACACCCTAAATTCTTCAGGTCCTTGGAACACTGAAAATCTCAAACCGACTACTTCAATGGTGTGAAAAACGTCCACCTGGTGTGCAACTTGGTTGGCTCGGCTTTTCCTTCCATGGCGGCAGGCTCTTCCCTGAGAGGCCTCTCCCTCCCCAGCCACTAGCTCCAGCCTGGCCCTACTGCCTCAGTGGCCTTAGACTTAAAGGACACATGCCAGCCCCAACTCTGCCAAGCCCCCAAGGACAGAAATAGCCTCCACGAGCCTCAAAGCTCCATTCCAGAAAGCACACTCCAGTACTGTGGTCTCCAAGAACTCCCAGTGAGTTTTCTACCTTTTCCTAGTAAGCTGTTGTTCTGTACAGTTTTATCTGTCTAACTGGACCATGATTGATACCACAGATCTTTTTGGATTATAAATTCTTATTTCCCACCGTTCTCTACATGGAAATGATAAATTATTTTTTGTTGACTATGTTAAGATTATCTTGGTTCTCAAAAATTGATCCTTGTTCATTTATGAGACTTTTTGTTGTTTCATTATTAATTACCTTGGTTTTCTTTAGAACTGTATTTCACAGTAAAGAACACCACTGACAACTTCCAAAATAACCAGTAGGTGAATTTCAAACATGCATAACATAATGTAATGTTATAGTTGAAGGTGGTAAATATGTTTGCATCCTTGATTTATCACACATCATATACATACTTTTAAACACCGTACTGCAACCTGCAAAGATGTATAGGGATTATATGTAAATCAGAAATTATAATTTTAAAAATTTAAGAAAAGAAATAAATGTAGCCAAGAAGATGAAAGATCTGTACACTGAAAACTATGAAACACTGATAAAAAAAATTGAAAAACACACAAAAAATAGAAAGATAACCTGTGTTCATGCATTTTAAGAATATTGTTAAAATGTCCATGTTAATGAAAGCTATCTACAAATTCAGTATATAATCTCTATCAAAATTCCACAGACATTTTTCACGTAAATTTCTTTAAAAATTAATTTATGTGGAAGCACAAAAGACTCCAAAGAAGTCTTTTTAAAAAAATTATTTTTAAAATTTTATTTATTATTGTTATTTTTTAATTTGACCAGAGTGGGAGAAAAGTCCAGCACTCATGCTGCAGTTGGTCACATGGGAATCCAGCACCTTAACCACCATGCCACCTGCCACCCCTCTAGAGAAATCTTGAGCTAAAAAGAACAAGGCATCACACAACCTGACTTCAAAAGATACTGCACCATCGTAGTGATCAAAACAGCATGGCACAGTCATAAAAACAGATACGTAGAACACTGGAACAGAATACAGAGCCCAGAGAATCTACGCTTCTGCAGCCGATTGATTTTTGGCAAAGGTGTCAAGAACGTACAGTGGGGAGAGGGCACTCTTCAATAGACAGTGCTGGGAAAACGGAATATCAACATGCAGAAGAAAGTAATCTGACCCTCAGCTCACACCATGTGCAAAACTCAGCTCAAAAAGAACAAAAGACTTTAGCATAAGACCTTACGCTGTCAAATAAATAGAAGAAAACATGAGAGAAAGAGTTGTGCTATTGCTTTGAATGATTTATTGCATATGACCCACAAAGCATGGATGAGCGAAGAAAAAATAACCAGACTAAAAAGTTCTGCACCAACAGATTAACAATCAATAGAATAAAAAGGCAACCTGTAAAATGGATGACAATATGTGTAAACTGTACATCTGGTCAAGGGTTAATATTCAAAATGTATAAGGTACTCAATAGTAAGAAAAGAAATAACCCAATTTAAAAATGAAGGAAGGACCTGAATAGACATTTCTCAGAAGAAACAAACGACAAACCGGCAGATACATGAAAAGGTGCTCAACATCACTAGTCATCAGGGAAGCACAAATAAAACCGACATGAGATATCACCTCACACATGTTAGAAAAAAAAAAAAAAAAAAAAAAAAGCAGATAGACATTGGCAGGGATGTGGAGGAAAAGGAAGCTTTGTACTGTTGGTAGAAATGTAACAATAAAAAACAGCATGTTGGCTTTATGAAAAATTAGAAGTGGAAGTACCATATAATCCAGCAAGTCCAATACAGGATTTATATCCGAAGGACATGAAATCAGTATATTGAAGAGATGTTTGCACTCCCGTACTCACTGCAGCAGCATGCTCGAGACCAGAAGGAATCAGCCTCAGTGCGCGTAGAGGGAGGAGGGGTAAAGAGAAGGAAATACATTCCATCTCAAGGAAGAAGACCACACCGATGACCTTGGAGAACTTTAAGCGCTATACACCATGCATAGAAAGATGGGTGCCATCTGATCGCCCTTTTATGAGGACTCTAAAAAAGGTAAATTCATAGAAGCAGAGCGTGGTGGCATCCAGGGCTCGGGATAAATAGGGAAACGTTCAGAAGGTCTGTTGTACAGAATGATGACTGCAGTTGATAACGTGTATTCCATGAAAATTACTTAGAGAGTAGATTTTAATTATTCTCATCACACACACACACGCAGAATGCTAAGTACTGAGGTAATTGATAATGTTAACTTGATTAAGTTACATTATATACATATATCAAGATATGTTGTACATTATAAATTGATGCAATTTTTATTTATGAATTAAAAAATAAAACAGGCATATAAATTTATATTCTAAAAATAAGAAGGAACTGCTAGCTCAAAGTTTCTGTAGTGTAGTGGTTATCACACTTGCCTAACATGCAAGAGGTCCTCGGGTCAAGACCAAGCAGAAACAGCTTGTGCCTTTTGTCTCCTTTCAGAATCTCAGGATCTATCCAGGAGTGGCCTCCCCACCACCCATTTAAAGAACCAAGTGAAAGTCCCATCTCTTTCAGGAGGAGAGTATCCTGGTGTAGCAGTGGTGACTTGGCTGGGCTGTCCTGTTGGGTGCTCTCCAGTAGGGACGTTTTCTCTTCTTGCTCAGAAGATTGGAAACGTGACATTTTGGCAGCCCCAGAGCTCTGTTGCCACTTTTTCCTGGTTACCTTTTCTCTTTTTCCTCGCAGAGCAATATATAGCCACTGCACTCTGGCCCTGGGCCATTTTTGAGTAGATGTGCCCTTAGTCAAGCCCTGGCTTGATGGTTCTGGGTCACCGAAGACAGTGGATAAAGAAGTGTGGGTGGGCACATCTACTCCTGAATAAAATGAAGGGCAAAAAACAAACAAAAAAAAACTCTTGTTAGCAGCTGGGGAATTAGCTCAAGTGGTAGAGCGCTCGCTTAGCATGTGAGAGGTAGTGGGATCGATGCCCGCATTCTCCAGGTTTTACTGCCAGAACCTTGGTTCTTGAGGTGGTATAACGAAGCCAGGCTGGTAATGGCCCCATTCACGGATGTGCGGGTACAGCTCTGAGTTGTAGGGATGATCCCAAGGGGCGATGTGTACCCGTTGTTCTTTTCCTCCCTTGTGACTATGCGCTCCATACTAAAGCCACCAGATCCAGCACTCAAACTGCTGTCAGACCGCTGTCAGCCATGCAGGATCCAGCTGCCTCAACCACTATGCCACTGGCTGGCCTGAGACTGATATTTTTGGAAGTTATTTCATAGTAAATGTTAGAGTTACTGAAGTGGTGAAGCTGGGGAATCTTTCCTTTTCCGTGTTTTCTCTGTCTTCTCTTGAGATGTGGGGTGGCTGCGTTCCTCCTGAGTCTCCTGAGTCCATTACAGTGCCTGCCACAGAGCATCTCACCGAGGAACGAGTACTGAATGAGGGGAAGGATGTGGTAGATTCGAGAGTTGTACAGAATAGCATTGAGTATTAGAAAATCATTGGACTTGGAGTTGGAAGGAGAATTCACCCGAGCTGACTTGGAAGTCTATCGCAGCACAGAGGAGCTTGGGAATGAACGGGCAGCAGTGCAGACCTGGCAGAGAGACTGCAAGCTGCAGTGGTGGAGGAGGAAGAGCTCACATCGTTTTAACTGCTAAAAAAATTCTACTTCTCCATCCAGGCTTTGCCACAGTGGGTACAGTATGTGGGTACAGTACGTGGGTGCCCTGTCTCTGCTGCATCCTGGAGGATGATCGTGGCACGCGGTGTCTGCCAGATTCTGCAGACTGTATGAAGTGAGCTCCATAACCCCTTGGTGTGGCCGATGGCCCACGAGACTGGGAGGAAGGGAGGGGAGGCTGCTCTCTTAAGATCAGGCTGTGGTTTGTAGGGGGATGTCTGCACCTCCAAGTCCCACGTGCAGAAACAGTAAACCGGTACCGCAGACAGGAGGCAGATTCCTCCACTCCTCTATTCACTCCTTCTGTTGATCATTCCCCAAATGGAGCAAGCTGCACCCCCCCCCCATGTTTCTGTCAACAAAGGAGACCAGGAAAGGGCGACTGGGATCTCTGAGGGAGGGAAAAGCTGAGGTCACTGAAACACAAGAGAAAAGACACGGAAAATCGACTCTCCACAGGCTCAACCGACCACAGATGGAAAACATGAACTAAAGTGTTAACTGCAGTGTTACAACGATTCCCGTAGCCCTTGCATTGCATCAGGTACTTAATTAATCCAGAGATGATTTACAGTGCATGGGAGAGTGTGCAAGGGTTACTGCGAATGCTGACCCACTTTACACCAGGGACCAACGCATCCGCGGATTTGGCATCCTTGGGGGTTCTGGGACCGACTCCCCCAGATGCCAAAGGACAGCTGTATTGTAGTCTGTGGCCTGTGACTCGGCTGGCCCTGCACTGGCTCTATCACTCCTGGGTGTGGAATCCTTTGGGATCAGCGCTTCCTGATGGGGAAGGATTTGCAATTTAGGAGTAATTGTATTCTTGAAAGGAACAGATTGATAAAATGGTGGTGCTTGAAAAATGACATTTAGTAAAATATCCCAAAAAAGCCCTCAGTTGCCCTCTTAGCGCAGCAGGCAGCGCGTCAGTCTCATAATCTGAAGGTCCTGAGTTCGATCCTCAGAGAGGGCAGGTTGTTTTATGATTTAACAGTATGAAAGTATTTTGAACACTAACCCGAGATTTGCAGACAAAGGATGGATTTCTGACTACGTTTTCCTATTCCAAAGTCATCTCCAGGGGCCTGAGAGCACCGCACCTACCAACTTTAACAAATCATGGATAGTGGGATGCCAACCGTGTGTTTAATGATCCACAGGAAGCCTTCTTGTCTCTGGGAGTAAAGCACAGGCATTCTTCTGCTGACTTCTTTCCCTAGAATTTCAGACTCGCCTATAACCTCCCAGGTCCTGCTTCCCGATGCCCCATGTTTGGGGTCAGGCCCACGGACAGGACTCTCGTGCGACTGACACTCGCCTGCTCTCAGAACTAAGTAAAGGAACCACTGTGACTCAGCGCCCAAGAAACACGCTTGGCTCGGGGTGTGGTCACTCGATCTCGTGTTTAGTAATGAGCCACATTAATTATTTCTGCGGAGTGGGTTGTTTCCATCGAACATGGAACATGGTGCAATCATGTCATTTTCTTCTGGGTGCTGCCCTGGTTTGGAGTCACATGGGTGGTAAAGAGGCTGGAGAAATGCAGTGTCTTCCTCTCCGTCTCATGGAGAAGCAGGGAAAATGGCTCCTGCAACTTCAGGCCCTCAAGGTTGCCCAACTGCAACTGTAGGCTGAAGTGGGGTGACGGGGCCATGCAGGCAACACAAGCTGGTAAGGATGCTGCCTCCCATTCTAAGGCAAGGCCTGGACTGGGAAGAAACTGAGGCAAGGCCCAGTTTACGAGCTCTCCCTTGTGTCCTTGAACTGGCCGGTATTCAATTTCTCTGCCGTGAGTTTTACTGTTATTAC